CCCTCTCTCCTCTCCTCTCCCCTCCCCTTATTCTGGTATGTATTATTCTCTTCCTGCAGCCCTGATTTATGAACTGCTACAGCATTTTTGTTAATGACACTTCATTTAGATGGCTGCTGGGCACAGTGGCAGCATCTGCCATCATGGTTCTAAATGTTCCGTTTGTGTAAAGTGAGATATTAAAGTTGTTTCCTTACGATGCAGCATAAGAGATGAAATGTTTTCTTTTCAGGGAATAACCTTTTTATCTGTATCACAAGAGCCATCTGTTCAGGAAGAAAGAGCTGCAAGTACTGAGGAGAAATAAAGAGCAGGGATTAACACATAAGACAAAAGCCGTGCCCTTGGTTTTCTGTTTGTTCAGCAGAATCCACTGGGATTCCATAGAGAAAGAGGAAATGTGCACAGAGGGAGTATTCAGATTAATTTTTGAGAAAATATAACCTCAGGCCCAAATTTGACTCCTTTCACATTATTTAAACGTCCCCTAAATTGTGTCTCTTGATTTTGATTCAATAATCGCATTCACATGTCATGCTGTGTCTTAGTTTTATCACACATGAAGTGAGCCCCAGCAGGCCTGAGGCATGTTGCAAATGTGTGTGCTTGGTTAAGGAATCTTGATGACAATATTAAAAAAACAAGATTATGGCAACCAGACTGATGGATAACTGGCAAATAGAGGAAGAAGAAAAAATGGAGGCAGTGACAGACTTTGTATTTCTAGGCACAAAGATTACTGCAGATGCAGACTGCAGCCAGGAAATCAGACGATGTTTATTTTTTTGGAGGAGAGCGATGACCAATGTCGATAAAATAGTGAAGAGTAGAGACATCACACTGGCAATGAAGATCGACATAGTTAAAGCAATGGTATTCTCCATAGAGGAATGGATGCAAGAGGTGGACCATGAGGAAGACTGAGTGAAGGAAGATAGATGCTTTTGAACTGTGGTGTTGGAGGAAAATTCTGAGAGTGTTTTGGAACGCAAGAAGATCAAACCAGTCCATATTCCAGGAAATTAAGCCCAACTGCTCACTGGAGGGAAGGATATTAGAGGCAAAGATGAAGTACTTTGTCCACATCATGAGAAGACAGGAAAGCTTGGAGAAGACAATGATGCTGGGCGAAATGGAAGGAAAAAGGAAGAGGGGCCGACCAAGGGCAAGATGAATGGATGGTATCCTTGAAGTGACCGGCTTGACTCTAAAGGAATTGGGGGTGGCCACAGCCAACAGGGAGCTCTGGCATGGGCTGGTCCATGAGGTCATGAAGAGTTGGAAGTGACTGAATGAATAAACAACATTGATGACAAGTATGGAACTTCTTTAGCATGAGCATTGCCACAAAAATATGGTGTAGAGGTTTACCACTGAATGTTGACAGTGTGGTTTGGTGGACCTCAAGGTCACAAGGAATGCTTTTGGGAATTACATTTGGGCCCATGGATTGTGCTTGTCATTTCTCTCCCAGTCTAAACCAACCACGTTATGATTAATGATAACTCCATGCCCGAACAACTGTAAAACTATACTTGATTATAAGTGGAAGCAAAAGTTCTCAGCCATTGGGGACAAGGAAATGTAAATACAATCAGAGCACTAGATTTGCTATATCTTACTCTCATTTGTTAAAGTTGTGCTGAAAAGCAACCTAGTGTGACATGAGCATGCAACCCATATGACGAAACTACTGGTTTAATTCAATATAATACCAAACTCAAAACACCAGTCAGGTATTAGTATAATTCCTTTCAGTTTGACAAAACTTGGGGTCCATATGTCTGTGATTAGTTCGATTTGCCTTTTGATAGGGAAGAAAATATTTTGTAACTGGATTAGATCAGTGGTTCTCAACCTTCCTAATGCTGCAACCCCTTAATACAGTTCCTTATGTTATGGTGACCCCAACCATAACATTATATTTGTTGCTATTTCATAACTGTAATTTTGCTACTGTTATGAATCATAATGGAAATGTGCAGGATGTATTTTCATTCACTGGACCAAATTTGGCACAAATACCTTATGCACTAAGATTTGAATACTGGGGGATTGAAATACCCAATACACCCAAATTTGAATACTGTGGGGTTGATTTGGGAATTGTAGGTGCTGGAATTTATAGTTCACCTACAATCAAAGAGCATTCTAAACTCCAACAACGATAGAATTGAACCAAACTTGGCACACAGAACTCCCATGACCAACAGAAAATACTGGAAAAATTTGATGGACATTGACCTTGAGTTTTGGAGTTGTAGTTCACCTATATCCAGAGGGTACTGTGGACTCAGCAAATGATGGATCTGGACAAAACTTGGCACAAATACTCAATATGCCCAAATGTGAACACTGGTGGAGTTTGGGAAAGATAGACTTTGACATTTGGGAGTTGCAGTTGCTGGGATTTATAGTTCACCTATATTCAAGCATTCTGAACCGCATCAATGACAGAATTGGGCCAAAATTCCCACACAGAACCCCAATGATCAACAGAAAATGCTGTGTTTTCCGATGGTCTTTGGCAACCCCTCTGACACCCCTTCGTGACCACCCCAGGGATCCTGACCCCCAGGTTGAGAAACGCTGGATTAGATGCTGCATGCATGAAAAACATAGATTGAGATCATTGTGGATTTCTAGTAAGTTATTCAATACTTTCCTTTAAAACCTCTTCAATAAGAAAGGAATTTTTTGTTATGAGTATTTTTAGCCATTTTGCCCCCTTCTATTTTGCATATCATTAAGGAGATGGTGTTAGCATACATTATAATTTGAAAGAGGAAGATTTTTTTTTGCAGTCTTACTTGAAAAGAGCATTCAAATTAGATCAGAAATCAAACAGCAGCCCAATCTTGATGCAGAAGCTTTATCTTTATGTAGTTATTTATTTATTTACAGTATTTATATACCGCTTTTCTCACCCCCGGGGGGACTCAAATCGGTTTACAAAAAATAATGGCAAAATTCAGTCTTACATACATAAACCAAATCATAAATCAAACAACATATAGCTAACCATAAATTCAATAGTACAGTTCACCCTAAGATAAGAGGACAAGTTGAACATCATAGTTGAAGTGGACCTGAATCCAGGGATTTTCAGTCTTGGTACAGTGCTCTGACTGTTGTACTGTTCTGCCTGCCTAGCATTGGACTTTATGGGCATTGGATGTGGTGGTAAATGGTGATAGACAAAATGGGAGCTTCTGCTTCTCAGACCTCCTTGAAATACAGCTTACCCACACAAAATGTTTCTGCATTTGTCCCTTTCTTTTATGGGGTTGTGGGAAAGCCAGGTGATGGAAAACGCAAAATGCTTTTCACTTCTTTCTCTCCCTATAGTCCCTGTTGCATCCGAGCCCACTCAATCATTTTTACAGTCGAGATTTAGGCAGACAGATTTTCCCCCACCTCCACTTTTTCAAGATTGTCAGGAATGATCTATGAATGACTGAACATGAGATGGTGTTAGTGAAAGGGCAAGGGAAGAATATACACACCCCTGCTGTTCTGTCCTACTTAAATTCTAAGGGAAACTGTCTGACTTTTTCTGGAATTGACTAGAGATGATTACTAGTCCTGACACCATCTGAAATGCTGCAGGTTGGCTTCTGCTAATCAGTTAAAGCTTTTGATATGCTGCAGTAGTTGCCAACTGTGGTATTTCAGCTATAAAATGCACAGACCTTGGTATGATAAGCAGCAATAACCAACTAGCTAATTCAGATCCTATATTTTTTTCCTCTTCCCTTGTGGCACCCCAGCCAGAGTTCACCTTGCCCTTAGCACCAACCAGGAACCCAAAAGCAGTGGTAAAATAGTTTATTGAAGAGAGTAGATATAAAAAGGGGAAAGTCACCAAAAGGAATAGGAAAGGTAAAATCCAACAGGTAACCAGAAAACGTAGTCAATATGTAAAAACCCAACCAAGCTGGTGAGGAGTAAAACACTTCAATGGCAATGATCTAAAGAATCCAAATGGTACAAAAAAACCAAGAATCATAACATGAGCATAATCCAAGGAAACAAGAATCAAAACATGAACATGAAGCCAGAAGAAAAACCCACTGCTATAAGAACTTCTTAAAACACAAATCAAAACTCCCAGGAACTTAAGCTAAAATATAAACAGGAAATAAGACTTGATATCCTCACTCTTAAGCAGCATTGCCTGATCTGAAATCTCAATGAGACACAAATTTAAGGGCTGCAAAACATGAAGGTATTTCTTTGACCTTGAGGTTCTGGCTTGTGAAACTTTCTCTGCGCTTCTTTCTCACGGATTCTTTTGGATTTCCTGCACCTGATGTTTTTTTTCCCTCAGATCCAGCCTGCTGTCCCTTCGAATGAGCTGTCTTGTTCTGCCAGGTCTTTATCAGGGGTTGCTAAAATCCTTGGGGGCAAAAGGTCTGTTTCTTGTCTGCTGGACTCCAAAACAGTTCCACTTCCAAATTCCCTCTCACAGACAGAATCTTGCTCTGAATTCCCCTCATTTCCCACTCGCTCAGGCTCTGAAACCCCAATCCCCTAATCTTCATCTGTCTGAAACCCAACTTCCCTATCCTTCTACTCTCATAAGATTAAGTCTTGGGTTGTGGGAGTTTTTATGGCTTGGCTTTAATATAAAATCCACAACAATACTTCTAGTTGTTTCTTTACACCATTGTGAAATATGCAAAGCTGCTGTTTGATGAACCATTACTGTGGAACACAACGTCCCACTGTGATTTATTTTCTGTGTTTAAATCATTGTGATTTTACATTGCTTGATATTTGTCTATATTGGGTTTTTTTTGTATTTTATTTTTATATTTTACTGTCGTTGTATGTTGTTTATTTGCATTGCTGCATTGTTGGGCATGGCCTCATGTAAGCTGCCCCGAGTTCCCTTGAGGAGATGGTGGCGGGGTATAAATAAATAATTATAATCATCATCATCATCATCATCATCATCATCATCATCATCATGTGTATGCTTTTCCCTTTTTTAACAGATCAGATCACAAAAGAGGATCTTGAGAATGTCCTGCAGAAGTTCACGGGGAACATCATGCAGGTTCCCCCACTGTAAGTACTTTGATTTTAAAACCAACTAGCTTGTTGGAAAACCTGCTTGCGGAATAAATTCTGCTGGCAATAGAAAATGACCTTCGTATGGCAGAAAGCTGGCAAGAAACGGAAGCTTGAAAAAGAATGAATTAACTTGACAGACTCAAAGCCAAGAGTGACATTGACTTAAACAGTACATGCGAGTGGCCCTTGTTGGCTATTTTAGACTGCATTTTAAAAGCTGTTGATCATTGCTGAAGCAAATGTTTCGCTTGCTTGGAATACATATGACAAAATGAAATGGCCCTATTCATTGGGCAGTGTTGCTCTCCATTAAGCATATGTATACCAGAAACAGGAAGTCTTTTGAAAGATGTTGGCATTTTTTCCTGATGGAAGTTAAAGTAACATACTGATTGCACATACTTTGCATTTCCAAAGAGCGCAAAGTGTGCTTGGCAAGAGAAATTTTGCTTGTCCCTATTTGCTAGTTCCATTATCAATCTCTTCATTTCAGTGGGTCACGTTAATCCAGGGAAGTGGTGAGCCATATGGTAGCTGTCTTTCATCAAGGATTGGCTTATGTGTTTGTCTTAGTTTTACTTGAAGCTTGAGAATATCACATAAAACTAGAGGCTTTATTTGATATCCTACTTCTCTCTGTTATTTGGTTAGTGCTTCCAAAAAAACTGATAAGCATGGACTTGAAGGTTGAAACTTTTACATTAGGAGGAAAAGCATTTTGGTGTCCCTTGGAGCCCAGTAAGCACAGAAGCAGCCCTGAGTGGTGCAGTGCCCTTGCTGTAATAAGCTTCCGAAATAAAACCTGTAACCAACCCTGCAGAAAAATAACTCTAATCCTCATAAGTGGAGATAAAAAGGAAGGAATATCCTGCCAAGCACAGTTCTAGTTTAGGATGACGTTTATCTTCTCCTTTTCCAGGCTATATCTTCTGTCATAATAACAATACACATTCAATCATAGTAACAGAGTGTTTATATAGTTATTCTTTTGTTACTGGGTTTGCCTTTAATTAGTTATAATAATTGAATTGGAAGACCACAAGTGCCATCCAGTCCAATCCCCTGCCATGCATAACCAAAACACTCCTGACAGTTGGCCATCCAGCATCTAGGTTGCTGTGAGTTTTCTGGGCTGTATGGCCATGTTCCAGAAGCATTCTTTCCTGATGTTTCGCCTGCATCTATGGCAGGCATCCTCAGAGGTTGTGAGGTCTGTTAGAAACTAGGACAAGTGGGGTATATATATCTGTGAAATGTCCAGGGTGGAAGAAAGAATACTTGTCTGTTTGAGGCAGGTGTGAATGTTGCAATTGACTACCTTGATTAGCATTGAATAGCCTTGCATCTTCAAGGTTTGGCTTCTTACTGTCTGGGGGAATCCTTTGTTGGGAGTGTAATAGATCTACCTTTTAGTCGGCTAGGCCGAAGCCTGCATAACAGTGGCTGGCATCTTGGTAGTCAAGCAGAGCAGGAGGAGGAGTCAGGCTGACTCCTGATTGGGTGTAGCAATTTGGGGAGGAGTCAGCTTAGAGAGGGAAAATAAGCTGCCTGCTTTGACAGAAAGGAAGAAGGATCTGAGACAGAGACAGAGAAGGTTGTGGATTTTTAGAGAGGAAGTTACAGCAGGGAACTGACAGGAGAAGAAGAGCTTTTAGTGAGCCTTTAGGTTAGGGAAATAGGCTGAGACAAAGGCTAGGAGTTTTACTGTGCTGGGAGAGCCAGTAAAAGAAAGCTTTGTCTCTAGAGCTTACTACCCTGTGGGGGAAACAGAGAGGGATCTGTTTCTCCAGTGAAACTGTGTCTAAAAGTAGAACAGTTTGTTAAAGGGACTCACAGCTGTAAAAGCTATTCTGTCAGGGGAACTGTTTGTTTAAGCAACCAAGTTACTGCAATTGAATCAAGCTTCTGTACCACTCATTTCCAACGAGTTGTTGTTCATATCAAGTTTAAATAAACTCTTTCTTAGTTAATTTTTAACTGGTGTATGCCTCAATCCATTCGTTTCCCTCAGAACTCATTCTCTCAACTCATTTTTTTAAAAGTCCAGTCATCCAGTGGAGGAAGCCATAGAAGATTCAAGAGCTCAAACCTACATTACCTATAATACATTCACACCCTTTTGGTTCCTCGGGCCGGTAATTCTGAGATGGTGGCGGCAAATACTACCAAGAACATTCGGTCACTTGCATTTACAACATAGGGTCAGCCTTTGTTCTTTGCTATATCGAAGGGCAGAGGTGTGATCGTGGTGTCCGCCCTGCCCGGATATCCCTTTAATTTTATTATAGGGAGGTATTAGCTGGCCCTGATGGTTTACTGTTTGGATTTCCCCCATTTTTTCAGTATTGTCCTAATTTTAGAGTTTTTAAAATACCCGTAGCCAGATTTTGTTCATTTTCATGGTTTCCTCCTTTCTGTTGAAATTGTCCACGTGCTTGTGGATTTCAATGGTTTCTCTCTGTAAGTCTGACATGGTAGTTGTTAGAGTGGTCCAGCATAACTGTGTTCTCAAATCATATGCTGTGTCCAGGTTGGTTCATCAGGTGCTCTGCTATGGCTGACTTCTCTGGTTGAAGTAGTCTGCAGTGACTTTCATGTTCCTTGATGCGTGTTTGAGTGCTGCATTTGGTGGTCCCTATGTAGACTTGTCCACAGCTGCATGCTATATGGTAGACTCCTGCAGAGGTGAGATGATCCCTCCTGTCCTTTGCTGAATGTAACATTTGTTGGATTTTCTTAGTGGGCCTGTAGATAGTTTGTAGGTTCCAACAGACCTCACAACCTATGAGGATGCCTGCTATAGATGTGAGTGAAACACCAGGAGAGAATGCTTCTAGAACATAGCCATGCAGCCTGGAAAACTCACAGCAACCCAGTGATTCTGGCCATGAAAGCCTTCGACAATTACTTTCCTAGCATCTTAAATTTGTTTCCTCGTGAAATTAATAATTTCCCCTTGTGTGCTCTCTTCAACACATCAGCTATTCTGCCCTGAAGAAAGGTGGACAGAGACTGTCAACTCTCGTTAAGAAAGGAGAATTGGTGGAAGCAAAGCCTGCCAGGCCAGTTGTGGTCTACAATCTCACACTCAAAAATTTCAAGCCACCCTTGTTCACACTTGGTAAGAATCAAAAACATGCATTTTTACTCTGTTCTGATGTAAGTTCAGTGTGCCTTCACACTTCTTAAAAAAACAATATTTTCCATTGATACGTTTTTAAATGGGAAGATAACATCCAGATCATAGCCCTAATGTAACTACATGCAGCCCCTGGCCTGTCCACAAAGGGTCCAGAGTATTTCAGAGTAGGGCAATGTTCTTATCTCATTGAAACTTTCACAACTAAGAACAGAGCAGAGAGAGAATAACAGCACTCCCTCTCAGAGAATAACCCCACTTTTCTCACTCTCACAGTTATATAAGGCAATGTCTGGTATTATTTCTAATCAGAGATAAGTGTGGTAACCTTTACCAATTGTGCCTCCACTTTGATGGCGGGGGGAGGGGGAAGCACAGGGCAGGAAAAGCTTCCCAGGAATGTTTGTGTTTGTAAAGTAAGGAGGGAATCAAAGCTACCCTGGAATGCAACCAGATGAGTGTGCATGGCTCAGTTCCCTTTCTTCCTTCTTCATCCCCAGCCACATAAGGAAATATATCAATACTATTAGGAAAGGGCATTACACAGAACCCTGTATTTTGAAAACTTTTCACATCAAAGTCGGATTCTTACTTGCATCCAGAACAAATTTAACATCCCTGTTTTGGATGAAACATAGAGGACAAATCATTCCCCCATACAAAATTATGAAAATAATCTACTCCTTCCTTCACCTAAATGTGAGCCAGTCTGTAAGGTGGAATACAAATATTGAAACAAGTATCTCAGCTATTCGTCCAAAATAACTCTTCCCACCACTCTTATTGCTTCGATCCTTCTTAGATCATTTTATTATATCCCAGTCCAATCCTATAACCCAGGGTTTTCAACCTGTGGGTTCCCAGATGTTTTGGCCTTCAATTTCCTAAAATTCTAACAGTTGGTAAACTGGCTGGGATTTCTGGGAGTTGTAGGCCAAAAGACCTGAGGTCCCACAGTTTGAGAAACACTACTGTAGTAAAGAAAAGGTAAAGGTTTCCTCTTGACATTAAGTCTAGTGGTGTCTTGCTCTGGGGGGTGGTGCTCATCTCCATTTCTAAGCTGAAGAGCTGGCTTGTTTGTAGACACCTCCATGGTCATGTGGCAAGGAAGAATGCATGGAGCACTATTACCTTCCTGCTGAAATGGTGCTTATTGATCTACTCACATTTGCATGTTTTCAAAATGCTAGGTTGGCAGAAGCTGGGCCTAACTAAATATTTAGCCAATACTAAATATTGTCCTTCCCTTTAATGCTCCTTGGCAACCGTATTCACTCAATTTTCTTGATTGTGCACTCTCCTTCTTCAGGTTTTCCATGCTCACTAGTCCAAAGACATCTTGCTCATGATTGCAAATCTAACTATGTTTTTACCACTCCATAACATGAACAGGTACATTGTGCTCCTTTTCTCTTCCTTTAGATTTTTGCAAAAACCAATTTACTCTTCATTTCTAACTGGAACCAACTTTTAAATATACATCATTGTTCTTGATGACATTCATTTCTTTCATCCCTTCCTCAACCCTTGCTCCCATTAAATTTTTAGATAGCAACTTATTTATTTATTATTTCTGGTATTTATATCCCGTCTCTTCTCTACCCCAAAAGGGGGACTCAGGATGGCTTACATAGGCAGCAATTCAATGCCATTACATGAACAATTAATACAATAACCATTAAACAAACCAACTCCAAGAATATTTCAACAAGCTTGGCTGGTGGAGATTCCGGGAGTTCTGCTCCAAAAAATAACTTTTCCAAGCTCTGTGCCTGTTTAAAAGTTTGGGTGGAACAAGTGTTTATTTTCACACATTTCTCTCTGGATGGTGACAGCTATATTAGTGTCACAGTATATGCAATAATATAATATGGCAATTGCCAGGGGCAAATAAAAGAAACCACGTGTCTCATCCAGAATTATTTATTTTATTTGAAACATTTGTATCTTGCCTATTTTTCTCCCATTGAGCTCAAGGCAGCTCTTCTTTTCCCTACGTTATTGTCACAGCAGCCCTGTGTGAGAGAAATTGACAGCTTCAAGACAACCATTGAGATACATGGCTCAGTGAGGAAAATACAGCACTCTCATCACTAGACTGTAGTCACCCTCGACACCATTGAAATATGAACAATCTTCATCCAAGTTAGAAAAAACTAGAACCAATTACATAGTTATTGATTTAAGTTGTGTGTCTTCAAGTGATTTTTGAATTAATGATAATCCAATCATAAGGGAAAACTATCACTGGGGAGTGCTAGAGATTGGTGATCCAAGCTACAATCCTACCTTAAAGGTAACATGAGGCTAAATTTTAGAGTGAAGTTGGATTTACCTCATCTAGGTAACTAATGATAAGGAACAGTCAGAGTTGTAGTCCAAAACATCTCTAAGGTCTATGATTCCCCACTCCTACTACAGATCATGGGGGGCCATGGTGGCACAGTAAGTTAAACCGCTGAGCTGAAGAATTTGCAGACCGGAAGGTCAGTGGTTCAAATCTGTGAGATGGGGTGAGCTCCTGTTGTTAGCTCCAGCTTCTGCCAACCTAGAAGTTCCAAAACATGCAAATGTGAGTATATCAATAGGGACCGCTTTGGCGGGAATGTAACAGCGCTCTGTGCAGTCATGCTGGCCACATGACCTTGAAGGTGTCTATGGACAACCCCGGCTCTTCGATTTAGAAATGGAGATGAGCACCACACCCTAGAGTCGGACTCAACTAGGCTTAATGTTTGGTGAAACCTTTATCTTTATTAGAGATCATGTTTGAGAATATTTATGAAAACACATCTGGATAGTCCAGATCTTGTTGGAAGCAATAAGATTAGAACAAGCAATAAAGACCACCGTTGTAAAGTCTTCCCAGCATTGGAAGCAACAAGGGAGTTGGCAAAGTAATCTGGTTTTCAACCTATATCAAATGGATGTTTTGGTAGCTTGTCTTATGTCCAGGGTGGGTTGGAACTCATTGTTTTCAAGCAAAGCTAAACAACTTTGCATATTTTAATGTATCATGAACATTAGTTCATAAAGCTAGCCATTTGACTTGCACTTTTGTTTGGCAAGCTGAATGTACAAACTGTTTCAGTGGACTGTGTAATTTCATTGCCTCAGTGACTTGTAACCCTCTACAGTGGGCAGGTTGGCAAATGAGAGGTCGATTTGAAAATGTCTTTGTCCCTTAATTGGATTGTGAATGTTGGGCACAGACTTCAGACTCAGTGCTTTAAAACATTCATAGTTGGCTTTTGCCAGCACATTAAAATAACTTTTCCACAATCGCCAACAGATAAATATTATGACATCATGTGGCATCTCCTTCCTTTCTGCTCTAAAAAAAGGGCTTGAACTACTTACTGAGATCCTGAAGCTATTAGTTATAAGGTGAATGATGGATGAAGTGGTGCATTTTATTTCTGTTTGCTTTCTTCTTTTTGCCCGCCTGCAATCTCACCCGCACATATGTTACCAGGATGAATAATTTATATTACAACCCATAAATATTTTAATCACTCTCTTGTTTGCTTAGTGCACTTTTACATTTCTATGTAAAGTAGATTTTGCACTTCACTGGCAATTTACCATGTTGCTGTTAATATTCCAGATGTTGAATGTGGCGGTGGCTTTTATGTCAGAAGCTTGGTCAACGACATTGGCAGAGGTAGGCACACAAAGCACGTCACTCTGGAGTATTTGCTCTTGTTGACAGACAACAATTTTTGTTTTCAGCATTGCAGTGCCAGATGTGTGGTCTAAGGCTCTCGAACATTTTGCTGTGATTTTGGCTTTCATGCTATTAGTAATAAACTTGACTGAAGTGGCTATAAAGGAATTCTGTAAGGGTAGTACTAAAGTAGTGGATTGGTCACAATATTAGGAGGATGTAATATGATTTTCCCCCTGATTCTCATCCCAGTCAGATGAGAAAGGTAAAACCAAGATGGTTCTTCTCTGTAAAGTTTATGGTGAGGATTCGTTGGCTCAATCCAGTGTTAGACTCAGTTCAAGAAAACCCTTTAAAATAAATGGGGCTTATTCATCACCATTGCTTCTGTAAATCCTATTCATTTTAGTGTTTCTACTCTAGGTTTACACCAGCATTCATAAAGCCTTATCTTAAACCTGATATTTATTTATTTCATGCCAAAAGCAGTGCACACATAAGTATAAAACTGATAAAAATAGAAGGAGCATAAGCAGCTAACTAATTTTTGGCCAAAACTGGGCAATAGCAACCGCATTGCCTGTAGCTTTAAACCATTCTTCTTCTGTACATGAGGCAGGGCATTGTGGACAAGCATACAGAGGAGGAGCCGTTTGTTCTGCTCCACAGTAACAGAGTGGAAAATTATTTTAGGTTGTTTCATTTTGCCAGGTTGTCCTTTGATCTGCCCACTCCACTTCTGAGTCTGCTCAGGGACTTCCAAGTTGTCCATTCTTGGTTTGCCTCTGGAGTTTATTGACAGATATAGTACTGAGACATCCTGTGATTATTCTGCATGTTTTGTTCAGTGCTAGACTTATGCCAAACAGGGCAAGCATACTCCGCAGTTGAATAAGACAAAGCCAGGGCTGATGCTCTTATTAATTTTGGGTATGAGTTAGTATACCCTTATTCACCTGATATAATAACTCTGTTTGGATTATGTCCACTTTTTGAAACCACATAATCAGTTCACATTTTGACCTGAAATTAAATTTGTATGAAGAATTTTATGTGCTTGTACTTCATCCAACATGATCACTGTAAGGCAGATACATTGCCTGAGGCACACCCTTTTTCACAACTAAACTATAGAAAACATAAACAGAAAATATTTCAGCAGTTGTCCATTGTTGTTGGTGCCAGATTACCTGTGGCTAATACCGTATTTCTTCGGTTGTAAGACGCCATTGATTGCAAGACGTACCCTAATTTCAGTACCACCACCAAAAATATAAAAGATACACCTGCAATTCTAAGATGCACGCCATTTTTAGAGATGTTTTTATAGGAGAAAAGTGTGTCTTAGAATTGAAGACATGCAGTATCGGAGTTAGCATACCCCTATTCAGCTCTTCCAAAAGGGATTAAAACATACTCCTAAGGAAAGAAGAATGCTAGCCTAGCTCCCTCCCTCCATCAAAATAGTGGGTTAGAATCAGATTTAGTCATGCGTAGAGTAGACCCAGGTCCCCTGGTGGCACAGTGGGTTAAACTGCTGAGCTGCTGAACTTTCTGACTAAAAGGTTGGCCGTTCGAATTCGCGGAATGGAGTAAGCTCCCGCTGTTAGGCCAGCTTCTGCCAACCTAGCAGTTTGAAAATATGTAAATGTGAGTAGATCTATAGGTACCCCTTTGGCGGGAAGGTAACGACGCTCCATGCAGTCATGCTGGCCACATGACCTAGGACAGTGTTTCTCAACCTGGGGGTCAGGATCACAACGGGGTGTCAGAGGGGTTGCCAAAGACCAAACTTCCCATACAGAACCCCTATGACCATATTTACTGTTGGTCATAAGGGTTTTGTATGGGAAGTTTGGCCCAATTCTATCGTTGGTGGGGTTCAGAATGCTCTTTCATTGTAGGTGAACTATAAATCCCAGCAAATACAATTCCCAAATGTCAAAGTCTGTTTTCCCCGAACTCCACATTTGGGCATATTGAGTATTCCTACCAAGTTTGGTCCAGATCCATCATAGTTTGAGTCCACAGTGCTCTCTGGATGTGGGTGAACAACAACTCCAAAACTCAAGATCAATGCCCACCAAACCCTCCCAGTATTTTCTTTTGGTCATGGGTGTTCGGTGTGGGAATTTTGGCCCAGTTATATTGTTTATGCTCTTTGATTGTAGGTTAACTATAAATCTAAGCAACTAAAACTCCCAAATGACAAAATCAGTCCCTCCCTCAACTCCGCCATCATTCAAATTTGCGCAAATCAGGTATTTGTGCCAAATTTGATACAGTGAATGAAAATGCATCCTGCATATCACATACTCCTTGACATCAATGGTTTATTTCAGTGATATCTAACTTAAATTCTATTCATTCCAGCATTTCTGCTTTAGGCGTGACTAGGACTGGTTCCAGTTCATTATACGCATGTTGACTATTATACACATGATAATGATGATAATGATTACTATCATGTATTTATAGCTTCATTACTATACATTGTGCTTTTCTAGTAGGGAGCAATAAAACAGTTTCCTGCCCTCAGCTTTGCAATTTAAATAGTATGCTTAATTAACATCACATTAATTATCTTTTTCTGTTGGGATGCTATTTCTGATCGTGTTAAATGTTGATACTCTCTTTCAGGTTTGTGTTTTTGTTTCCCCCCAAGCCCCCCCCCCCCCCTTCCCCCCCCCCCCCCCCCCCCCCCATGCTTTAGAGCTGTCTTCCTGTGCCACTGTACATGAGCTGACCCGAACCAAACAGGGACCATTTACACTGGAAGAGCATGCACTTTCTGAGGACAAATGGACAATTGGTGAAATCAGCCAGTCCCTGGAGCGTTGCATGCTTCTTCTCCAGGCAGAACCATCTCGTAAAAAATTAAAGACAGAACTGTCTGAAGAACACGCTGTGAGCTGTGAAGATAAGTGATAAGTCAGGTCAAGGAAAAAGACTGAATGACTGAGACGTTTTCAGATTGCTCTGGGATTGTCTTGTCTTCCCTCGTAAATTTACAGTCCTGTGTGTAGAGGATGACAAATTGCAGTGCAATGGAAACAATGCCTTTCTATCTCTCCTGCTTGTGTTGAGAGACATAAGAAGATGTCCAGCATTTATTTCTTCCCATAATGTCTGTGTTGCATTGTAAACGTATTTGTCAGGGAAGCAGGGTCATCACTATACCCTTGAAAGGAGCTTGCAGGACATTGTTTCTTTAATTTGATCTCGGTTCCATGTTTTTGCAGATACTTGGATTCTGCTTTTCAAGGGAAATAAAGCAGTTTGAAATGTTGACATTGAATAAAAAGAGTTTATAAGAAGAATGTGGGGGAAATGGTACAATAAAAATTCATGAACTCCAGTAATGACAGCAATTTTTGGAAAACATATTTGAGTCCTGCAAAATAGCCTCACAATTTTCAAAGGAGGCATTGGCATGCTGTTATATTTATACAGTTATATGGGAAGAACGGGGGCTGCCTTTCTTCCAGTCTTCTACCTTTTCATTTTTTCCTTCCAACCTTCACTCTAGTTCTGTTGAGAGTATGAATAATGTTCTTGTATGTTTGACAAAATGAATGCCAGATATTTTAATATGAGTGTATGTACATATCTCTTTGTAAGATTTTTAATGGGAACACTGATCTTTCCCTAGATACATCTTGTCAGTGTATCTTAAAGGGATGAATAACACTTTGTGTACAGCATACTTCCATTAACAAAGCCCCTGGCAAAGTACAGTATATACTTGAGTATAAGTCGAGTTCTTTAGCCCTTTTTAAGACTGTAAACCCCCCCTCAGCTTATACTCGAGTCAAAGTTATTTATTGTTTTACTCTGTTGTTATTATTATTATTATTATTATTATTATTATTATTACATTTATTATTTTACTCTATTTTTATTGCTTTTATTAGATTTCCATTATTTTACTCTATTATTGCTATTATTTTATTACATTTATTATTTGAATCTGTTATTATTATTTTACTCTATTATTACTGTCATTACATTTCCATTATTTTACTCTATTATTATTATTATTATTATTATATTTATTATCTTACTCTATTACTTTTGGAAGTATACATAAGCACATTTACATTGAAGAAGGTTAGACTAATGGTTTAATCAGAGTTGGACAGTCTTATCTTACATTACAGTTTTATGTAAATATTCAAAAACATTTATTCTGCTGGTGCCTCAATTAATGTAATTTTATTGGTATCTATTTTTATTTTGAAATTTACCAGTAGCTGCTGCATTTCCTACACTCGGCTTATACTAGAGTCAATACTTTTTCCCAGTTTTTTTTTTTTTTTTGGTGGTAAAATTAGGTGCCTTGGCATATATTCGAGTTGTCATACTCAAGTATATACAGTAGCTCATTTTCACAAAGCCTTTTTACACCTGCCCATCACCATATATATCTTGGTCCTCCAGCTACTAGAGGTTTCTTTTAGCAACATCAGCATTGGGAAGATGGTGAAGAAAAGCTGGACAATTGGATTTTGAGTGTCAGGTTCCAGCCACATGCCTGCAGTTTTCTTTAAAAAACATTTTATTAGCATTATATAATAATATAGAATAAAATATACTAAAGAAAAAAAATCTGCATACTACATAAAGACATAAACATTCTAGGTTTCACCAGCATTTCTGCATTATGTACCTTCAGGCTGTGTCCTGGTTCAGGAAACGTATAGGTATTTGTTGGTTGCTTTCAGTCTTAGCCAAGAATTAAACTTCCCATGTTGTTGTATGGCTTTGATTGGAAGATACTAGGAAGATGAATTTATTTTAGAAGCTGGTCCTTCAGTTTGATTTGGGAAAATCAGTCTTGCATTCCATTAACAAGATAATTAACCAAAATTTTCCCCTTTGCTAGGGATGCTTAAGCAGAAACTGAATTGCCATTTGTCATGGATATTGTAGCTGTATCCTCCTCTGAAGTCCCTGCCTTGAGCAATGGGGTGGACTGCTTGATCTCCCAAGTTTCCTTCCAGCTCTCAAAAGTAGGCCATATTCAGTTAAATCTTCTACTTTGAACTTTCAATAAAAAGAATAGTCTGTGTGGCAGTTTGCACTCCAGAGAAACAAAATATTTTCCCATGAGTATGCCACAAACAAACCTCGATAAAATAGTTAAGACTAGAGACATCATACTGGTAATGCAGATCTGCATAGTTAAAACAGTGGTATTCCCCATAGTAACCTATGGATGTGAGAGCTGGATCACAAGGAAGGCTGAGTGAAGGAAGATAGACGCTTTTGAATTGTGTAGGAGGACAATTTTGAGGGTGCCTTGGACCACAATAAGATCAAGCCAGTCCATACTCCAGGAAATAATGCCAGACTGCTCACTGGAGGGAAGAATTTTAGAAGCAAAGATGAAGTACTTTGTCCACATAATGAGAAGACAGGAAATCTAGGAGAAGACATTGATGCTGGGGAAACTGGAAGGAAAAAGGAAGAGGGGCCAACCAAGGACAAGATGGATGGATGGTATCCTTGAAGTGACTGGCTTGACCTTGAAGGAGCTGGGGGTGGCCATGACCAACAGGAAGCCCTGGCATGGGCTAGTCCATGAGGTCATGAAGAGTTGGAAGCGACTGAACAAATAATGCCACAAACAAGAATGGTTTAGAAATATTTTTAGTAAATATACAGCCCATATAAATGCACTTTGTGAATGGGAAACATACATGGCATCCTATAGAATTCAGAATGCCTGAAGTCATTATGACTATGCTTAATGTGTAAGTATTGAAAGAAAATTAGATGCCAACTTGAATGTTCATTGATAGCTGCTACCATCAACATCTTTTTCTGTGCAAGTGTTGGTTTGAACTATTTATAAATAGTGCTCATTCTTTTCATGTCTAAATCCTGAGAAGGCCAGTAAAGTTTAATGTTAAACCTCTTAATTAAAGGTAAAGGTTTCCCTTTGACTTTAAGTGTAGTTGTGTCTGACTTTGGGGGGTGGTTCTCATCTCCATTTCTAAGCCGAAGAGCCAGCATTATCCATAAATGCCTTTTGGAGCGCCGTTACCTTCCCGCAGAAGCAGTACCTATTGATCTACTCACATTTGCATGTTTTCAAACTGCTAGGTTGGCAAAAGCTGGAGCTCACCTCGCTCCCTGGATTCAAACCGCCAGTCAGCAAGTTTGGCAGCTCAGCTGTTTAACCCACTGCACCACTGGGGGCTCAAAAACTCTTAATTACTTTTGCTAATTTTTGAATTTGGGTTGAAATTACATTGTATTGAGCTGCAACTTCCATCCTTCTTCTCCATTGCTTGTATTGGCTAGGTTGCCTGGGAGCTGTTTTCTAGCAATATATGGAGGGCTCTACAATTTTTACCTCTGATTTAATAACTGCGTTATAGTTTAGACATTAAATAACCATCAACCTTTTCAAAGTTCTATTCCAAAAACACATTTAGAGAACCTCCTACTTTGTATGATGATAATTCTGTTGATCTCGCACTCTGGTACAGCATATTAGTACATACAAGATAAAGGCCAATGGCATAGAAAACCATGATTACATACAGCCAATAGTTTGCTAGTATTATCAGACACATTGAGATTGGTGGTTAGTTTCTAGTAGGTTTCCCTTCCAAAGAACTGACATTTTTAGTGCAATACTCTGGCTACGTCTGCAAAAACAAAATAAAAAATCTATTCCTCGGCCAAATCTATTTTCAATTCTCAGCACATTTTACCATTAACTGTCGTCTGTATTTTAGTGAGATCCAAAAATAGATATTAATGCATTGTTAATTTTCTCTGGTCCAGTGCTCCCATTTCTAATTTCTTCTCTCTTGGCAATGTCTTTCAAATTGTCATAAGAGTGTTGGCATGAATGACAGTGGCAGAATCTGATTTCTCCAATAAGATGCAGTCAGCATACTATATCAAATGGTGATTATTTAAAAAGGAGTCTGGAAAACAGCCAGCACCAAATGCATCAGCAGCAGAACTGGATCTGAGAATATCTGCAGGGGATGCGGTTCCATCTGTGACTGGTACATTTGCCTTCTTGGGATCCGGTAGAATGCTCTCTTCCAAGTGCATCTTAATTTCCAGGAGAGAGAGATGGCCAGTCTCTCCTGGTGTCTATCTAACGCTCTTCCTTTATTCTGTCTCTTTTATACCACTGCCAAGTTGTTTTAGGTACACTTACTTTCTTTTCACTTTTTTGCTTTTTCTCACATGAGTTTTGGGTTACTTACTTACTTACTTACTTAGGCGATCCCTCGTTGGACGAGTAAGATGGTCTTCCATTATGGATTTCCTTGTGGGTCCGTATGTGGCTGTGGAGCCCTATTCTTGCTCTGCATCTTCTTCCGCAGTGAGGGCATTGGTTTCCAGGTGGAAGGCGGTCCCGGTCGGGGTTGGCTTGACGCGCCTTCCTCCTGGCACGTTTCTCTCTTTCACCCTCCACTCGTGCCTCCTCAAATTCTGCAGCACTGCTAGTCACAACTGTCCTCCAGCTGGAGCGCTCAAGGGCCAGCGCTTCCCAGTTCTCAGTGTCTATGCCAGAGTTTTTAAGGTTGGTTTTGAGCCCATCTTTAAATCTCTTTTCCTGTCCACCAACGTTCCGTTTTCCGTTCTTAAGTTCAGAGTAGAGCAACTGCTTTGGGAGACGGTGGTCAGGCATCCGGACAACGTGGCCGGCCCAGCGGAGTTGATGTTGGAGGACCATCGCTTCAATGCTGGTGGTCTTTGCTTCTTCCAGCACACTGACGTTTGTCCGCTTGTCTTCCCAGGAGATTTGCAGGATTTTCCGGAGGCAGCGCTGATGGAATCGTTCCAGGAGTTGCATGTGACGTCTGTAGACAGTCCACGTCTCACAGGCATATAGCAGGGTTGGGAGGACAATAGCTTTATAAACAAGCACCTTGGTATCCCTACGGATGTCCCGGTCCTCAAACACTCTCTGCCTCATTCTGGAAAATGCTGCACTTGCAGAGCTCAGGCGGTGTTGTATTTCGGCGTCGATGTTGACTTTGGTGGAGAGGTGGCTGCCAAGGTAGCGGAAATGGTCCACATTTTCTAATGTGACACCATTAAGCTGTATCTCTGGCATTGGAGAGGGGTGGCTGGTGACTTTTGGAACAGCACTTTGGTTTTCTCAATGTTCAGTGACAGGCCGAGCTTCTCGTATGCTTCTGCGAAGGTGTTTAGAGTGGTTTGTAGATCTTCTGAATGCGCACAGCCGACATTTTCATCAGCATACTGGAGTTTATAACAGATGTTGTTGTAACCTTGGTTTTGGCTTTCAGTTTGCTGAGGTTAAACAGCTTGCCATCTGTCCGATAGATGATTTCCACTCCGGTGGGAAGCTTCCCATCAACAA